ACTCATACGACCTGAAAACGGAACTATTCTGGCCACCGGTTTTTGGGTTGACAGTTCAATTGTTCGGTTTGAACGGATGGCCCGTTTTGACAACAAAAATAAAAAATAAAAAATAAAAAAACGATAAAAAACCATTGAACGGGTCGATGGTTCAACCGCCCGGGTCAATGGGTCGTTAATCGATTCAACGCTTTTTGGCCAGGGACCGAGATTAGGATAAAACGGAACTGGCTGCCTGGATGGTTCCCAAATGGAAAAATAAAAAGCTGCCAAAAACCATTCAATGGGTCAATGGGTCGATGGTTCGGCCACTCGTGTCAATGGGTTGACCGATTCAACCGTTTTTGGCCAGAGACCGGATCAACTGATCAACGGATCGATGTTTCCATTCCGGCCCCTACGAAGCAGGGCCCCTCCGCTAGTTTATAGTTATTAGAACTTTAGATTTATTGTAATTCATATGTTTTTAGGATTTATTTGAGTTACCCATGTATCCATGCATATATTATTTCCCACTATGTCTAAGCCTATCCAAAGCCTTTCCTTATAAATCTATTGAAAATGAGATATTTTCAATTATTTGAACCTTGAATATCGATAAAGAAAAATTAATATCATCAGAGAAAGAATTATACCAGGGGAAAATCAAGTACTCTATATGAATCAAGTTAGTTGCTAATTAGGGGTGCTCACGATTCGATTAACTGAACTGTGGGCTTATTTTTTAAACCGAACCAGAGTTATCGATTTTTGGAAACCGAAATTGAACTGAAACCAATCAGTTAACTGGTTGGCCGATTCAGTTAGCCATCAGTTTGGTTCATCAATTTTTTATTATTTACAATATATATTATAAAAATATATAAATATATAATATTACAATTTAAATAATAGATAATATATTATACATTATAAATATATATTTATATATAATGCATATTTATTAATTTATAGTGTATAGAAAATAGAAAATATATAATATATATGAATATACATAAATATACATAATATATATATATAAATATTGGTATACCGGTCAGCTTTGTTATCCATCAGTTTTCTATTTTGGTTAACCGAAACTGAACCAATACCTTCGGTTTTTTAAAATACCGAATCGAAACCGAACCAACCGGTTTGGTTAACCAAAATTTTGATTTGATTTTAGTCATTTCATTTTTCGGTTTTTCTTGCTCACCCCTATTGCTAATGTAAGGGATACCCATGTGAAAGATCAATTAAAATCTAGTAAGAAGTGTCTTTGTGGTGTTAAGTGTTGTAGGCAATCTACCAATATGATTGTTTTTATTTTTCAAGGCTCAATTTGGGAAGAATATAAATATAAATATATACAGTATAAATAAATACAAAATAATACAAAATACAATGTTATGCAATCTATACATTTGTTTTTGTACTCATTCTAAACTAAGAGTAAGGCTCTATTTGGGAAGAGAGTAAATACAAATATGTTCAGTGCAAAACTTTGTGTACTACATTTCTGAACCTTGTATTTACGCTTTATATATTTGTATTTGCACTCTTCTCAAATTAGGCTTAATTGTGAGTATTAATGAACAAGGATTGCCTTCATCTTATTTGTTGATTCTCCCTTTGACCATGGAAATTGGATCCATGTTGCTTGACCCTTTCTTCTCCTCCTCCCTCCACCCCACACTTTTTTTTTTTGAGGTAAAAGCACTTATAAAGTTTAAAGTGTTGATACATATTGGTCGAATCTAACGATGATACTGGAAGTCATGTTGCCTAAAAAACTGATACTATAATAATAAAAAAAAATTAATATCATAAAAGTGGTACTAATTAGCTGGTATTTATCCAAATTCACCCCGATAGGGGGTTTATTAGTCAGAATTCTTCCCATATCATACCCTTCTGGTATCATAGACATTTCCATTGGTCAATATGGTCTGATACATATCATTTTTTTAGAGATATTGATAATTGGCAAGATAGGAAATTATTCACAAAAATATCCAGATTGTATCCACCATGTATTGATATAGGGGCGGAGACAAGGGGACCTAGGGCAGATATGGCCCTCCTTATGGTCCAGAAATCCCCACTTGTAATACAATTTTCCATATAAATTTCCACCCTTCCCCTACTCCCCAACCTAATGGTTGGCCCTCCCTATGGAGAGCAAGGTTTAACTGAATGCTTTACCTATTCAACAGGTGCCATATATATATATTCCCCACTCCCTATTCGACTTTAGGTCCCCCCCCCCCCCCTAAAAATTTCTTGGCTCCACCCGTATGTTGATATGTATCATGTTTCTATTGTTACATTCAATTACGAACCGCTACAAAGCATTACAAATTAACCTAGATTCAACCGTTGCAAACTCATACTCAAATGGTATAAAACGATTACAAGGCCATACTATACATTGAAAAGCAGATTCAACAATGAGCTTGGATCTCCTACCCACAAACTCTTCCAACATCTCTACCACAAATAGGTTTGTCAATAATACCCAAAACTCCATGACCTGATTCGACATCCAATCCAGTAATGTTTTAATATTTATTAATTTTAATATATACAAATTATATAATTATATTTAAAATTTATAAAAAAAATATTTGTGTATATTATATTATATATATATGTAATAAATTCAATATGTTATATCTACATTAATTTATTACATGTAAAAGTTGAAAAGTAATTCACCTTTAATTTTTTATTTAAAAGAAATTAAAGCAAGAGTCAGATTAAATCCAAATCTTGTCTATTAGGATTCGAATCTGAACCCAAGGTCTTCAAATCCAATTAGATTTCTGATCAGATTTACATCATTAGATAAAAATTTTCAATAATTGGATTGAATTTTGCTGAACTCAATCCATTTACAAAACTACACACAAGACACAACCATCGTGTATTGAGAATATCATCCCATGTGAAAATCAACCACTTAAAATTGTTATTCATTTTTTAAGCCTTAAAACTGTAGTTCAATCAAGATGGACGATTATAAAACCACATTCAACCATCGCAAACCAGAGTTCGGCTTCCGTCAGGGCAATACCCATTCAAGCAGCCTTTACAGCCTTTTATCGGGAATATCTCCGTAATAATATGCTTTATTTCATAGAGAGATATTCTTGATTCAAGGTTGTAAGATGTTGTTGGGACAGTGTGAGCATAGGCTTGCCCTAACCGAAGCCAACCTCTGCAAACCGCACTCGATACAATTGATACTCAATTGGTACACTGTCACTACCCATACTCTTACTTGACTGGTAGAAACCCTATGCAATTGTTAGTCTGTTACAAATACATACTCAACCATCACAAGCTACTGATACCAACTCTAACTTACTTGACTGGTACAAGGTTCAAAATATCGATACGCTGGTATGGATGTATCGGGCAAATCGATACAGCTTTTGGTACTTTCTTTTTTAATTTTTTTCGCAACTGATTCAGGGGAGCCGGTTTAGGCCTCCACACCTTGAACTGGTCAGACCCCGGATACACCCACTGTAGGGGCGTATCGGAGGGGTCCCAGAATGATACGTATCGGCCAATATAGGCTGATATGTGTCAATACTTTGAACCTTGGACTGGTACAAATCCTACGCAATTGTTAGTCTTACAAGTACATACTCAACCATCACAAGTTGATACTGATACCAACCATTACAAACCAATACATTTTTTTCCTGATGCTCAGTTTGGAAGGAGTACAAATACATATAAAATAAAAGGTTTTGTACTTTACAAATTTGTATTTGTACAAATACAAATATACACAATACAAATACATATAAAATAAAAGGTTTTGCACTCTACATATTTGTATTTGTACTCCTTCCAAATGGAGCCTAATGCTCAGTTTGGAAGGAGTATAAATGTAAATATGTACAGTGAAGATACATATAAAATAATACAAAATACAAGGTTTTGCACTCTATATGTTTGTATTTATACTCCTTTCAAACTGAACCTGAAGTAGAAATATAAATATCTACAGTACAAATACATACAAAAAATTACAAACTATAAGATTTTGCACTCTACATATTTGCATTTGTACTTCTTCCAAACGAAGCATGATGAAAAAATGCAGTTCTATTAAAACAGCGAGCAACTACAAGACCAAAACATAAAAACCACAAGCAAAGCAAAAGAAAATGGTTGGGTATTAAAAATTGATATCAATTATTACAAAGTGATGCATACCTACTTTTTTCAAATATGATTTGTCCTATTGATTAACATTACTAAAAAATATATAAAAGAAGTTTCTTAGACTCAAATTGAAGGCTTTCCAAATGAAAAAGAAAGGTTCTACCGAGCTGTAACATCACAATTTGTCAAAATAACGTGTGCCCTAAGTTTCAACTTTCTAAGCCATTTTTATCTATTTTTTCTTATTAATATTATATCAACCAAAATTTAAAAAGATAAAAATTAAATATTTAAATGATCATTTAAATAAATAAATTTTCTTGAATTAAGACATATGTTAAATCTTCAACCGTTCTACCATTTCCCAATGTTTCCTTGGCATATTTGATAGTTCACACTTCGCATGAATGATTAGAACAAATATTTCCCATGTCTATATACTTTATGGAATGTCATTTGAGACTTAGATTTAATTCTATTGATATATGTTTTGAATTTATTTGACTTTCCCTTATATATACATACATATCTTAACTTTTCCACCATATCTCGATAGGTCTCTTAAAATTGTTTATCTGATACTCTTTCTGTTTATGATACTTTGAACCTTAATTGAAAATTTGGAACTTAGGCTCAGTTTGGAAGGAGTACAAATACAAATATGTAGAGTGTAAAACCTTGTATTTTGTACTATTTTGTATGTATTTACACTGTAGATATGTGTATTTGTACTCCTTCAAAACGGTGACTTAGTACAATATGGAAAAAGAATAGTGATTTTGAAAAAGATAAGATTTAATTGGTGATTTTCTTTGTAATTTATCTAATATTTGCTAGCATTTGTATAAAAAATGCTACACTAAGATGACTTATCATTTCTTTATCTCTTGTTCTCAGTAGGCCAGACCAACTTCTTGTCAACAAATTATTCCAGAGAAACTGTCTATCCTTTTATCCTTTATATACCATATACGTTTTTTTTTTTGGGTTGGGGGGGGGGGTTCATAAATTTTAAAAATTTCCATAGTTACATAGGTTAAGATTTCACTTGTTACACATCCTTAAATAAGAGCTGGAATTTGGGAATCCTCTCCGGTGGCAGGGGACAACACACAATCAGCTTGCCTTTCATAGCACCCCTAAATATTGCCTGCCAGAATAACAAACCTACTGTTATACATGATTACACATACAAAAACATACTCCTTATCAAGACGAAACTGCTATCCAGCCATCATAACATCATATAACATGACAACTAAGGAACGAGAACTGGCTGCCAAAGAAAAGATTCAAGTGTTCCTGATGCTAAAAGAACATTATTACATTGTTAGGCAGTGATAGAATTATGTGAAAAATACTCAACCCCTACATGAAATACTAGTGACTCTGAATCACCTGAAATACAATTTCCAATCCGATTATTATCATATTTAAAATTTTAGTAACCGAATCAACAGCCCTGAGTTTGCTGAGTTCTATAGATTTGAATTGAACTCAATGAAGCCTTGTTCAAACTTAGATCTCTTTTTTCGCCTCCCTAGGGATCACTCCTCTCTTCCTCTCTCCCACTCTGACAGACACACAACTTACATTTTTTTATTTTCCATTTCTCCTCAGTGGTTATTGAATGTCATTTAACTTTCAATTGTCCTTTCTCTGTTAAGCAAACTGTATCATTACTGACGAAAAAGTAGAATAATGAAGTATTAAAACTAAACAGTACGCTGACAGCTTAACTACTGCTTAAGATAATATCTTATGTTTTGCAGTGACATTAGCAATATATGCTCTAAAGCAACAGGCAAAGATATCAACTAATCCTTTTCTTCATAATATAAGATCATATTATTGGATGAGGGCATACACGTCCAGCAATTAAGTATGAATGTTCACATTTTTAAGTACCCTATGGCTAATGTTCTAAAAAGGTAGCATAGTGACATAGGGTAAAGAAACCGATAATCAAGTTTTGGCCAAGGCTTCCAATTATATGAGGATGTGACGTTGATTCTAAAATTATAACCACTTGAGTTGCTCCGCACTGAGCAATGGCGGCAAGGGAAGTCTCGGTGAGGAACATGGGAAAGCTAAATGAAAGATTAGAGTTTTTGCACCGATATTTAGTAGGAAGGTTCATCAATTCCGATCCTGACATCATAGATGTGGAAAGTTGGGCATCTTTGGAATGGCATGGGTAGGGAGGTTTTGGAGTACGAAGATTTGGAGCATGTCTTTTTGTCTTTAGTTTTTGAAGGAAAATGGATATGGAAAAAGTATTGGAAAGGTAGAAGTTTGGAGTAAATACGCTTCTAGAATTAAGATTAGATACAGTCTCCTTTAATTGGGCAGATTACAGAGCAGAAAGATTTCGTTTGGATCGATGTTATGGGATCCTGTTACATGCCTGGTGTACAGACATTTAGAGTTATTGGAAATGCTTGTGGGAGATTCCAATGGTTTGACGTTTGAAACAGATTATGGGAGAAGTAGTTTGCTAGAATATTAATTCAGAACGCAATGGAGATCCCAACCCTGTTAGACCTCTTCTATGCAGGGTAAGGGTATCAATTGAGAATTGCAGTTGCAGGTCGAGACCCTTGCTTCAATCAAGTGGTGGCCTTAGGAACGCAATGGAGATCCCAACTCTGTTGCACCACAAGGTATGTCTACGGTGATGACAAAGGGAAGAAAAGATTGGTGATGCATTCAAGAATAAGAGCTCGTTGGTAGCAGAGAAGGGGAGGAGACAAGTGGAGGTTGTAGAGCTTCGAGGGAAACTGGATGAACAAATGGCTGAAGGGGAGGTAGTGACAGTTGAAAGAGAAATGGGGAGTGACTCAAGTGGTGTAAGCAAGTTGATTCAACCAAGATAGAGAAGACCGGTGGTTGCATTGGAGGCGCTTATAGGGGTGAAGTGGTGACAAGAGTGGACGAGGCAATTATACAAGTCCAGTGTGATTTCAGCGAGGAAGTATAGAATGACATAGTGAAGCAGGTAAGTGGTTTTCATCTGGAAAATCTTAGGGAGAGTGGTGGTGTTGAAGGAGGAAATGAAAAGACACAATTTGGGGTTGTGGGAGGGTTGTTGGATTAAGCAGATGAGGGAAGGGGGGAGGAGAAAGCAGGGGGTGAGACAGAAAGTGGTAGGAGGGAAGGGAAGAGAAGCGAGGCAATCAATACAGGGGTGGGGGAGGAAGGAGGGTTGGGACCAAGAGGGAAGTGAAGGGGGAAGAAGTAAGAATTGGGGGTGAATGTTCAAGGGATGCAGGAAAGAAGCAAGTATATCAGAGGAGAAAAAAGTACAGAACTAGGCCATTGGAAGATAAGAGTGGGGAGGAAAAAGAAGAAGAGGAGGAGGTGGAAATTGATGAAATGCATGTTGTTCAGGGAATAGTCGATTTGGATAAGGTGATAGATACAGAGATTTGGGGGCGTCATGGGAATTGTTAAACATAAGCAAAATAGTTTTCAAATATATATCTTTACATAGAATTAGGATAATAAAATATCAAAGCTAATTTCCATGTATAAAATGTACTTGACAAGGACTTTGGTAACATACCTCAACTACATCAATGAAGTCCTGTTTTCTATGAAATGCACCTATCCATTTAGTGTGGTCTGCAGTCCTGAAACAAGTAAACAGTGGTATAATAAGTCAGCATGTGTTCTCCATCCTTCAAACATACAAGAATCTTATTCTAGAATGTTTTTTAACAAGGATTGTCAGATCTCGAACCTATAATGCATGACAAAAATTGCCACATAAAGGCATGGATTCCTACTTGTATCTCTAGCATCCAAAAGAATAGGACATAGAGGACTGGAGAGAGGAATAATTGATCCTAATATGGATTCCAACCAAAAAAGAAAGAAGGAAAGAATTTTAGTATGATCTTCAATTAATATACAATCTATACGTCATGCATTGTCAAACAAACAAGTTGGGGTTTGAGATGGGTTTTTTTTGGGGGTCTTCAGGCTGAAGGGAATCTATTGGGTTTCATTACCCTTGTTTGCAATGCCAGAATGCTTTAGCTTTTAACCATGTAATACGCCAGCCTTCATCCAAGTTTCCCTTGGTAGCAAAGGGATCTCTCTCCTTTTATCATTAACCAGAAGGTGGCACATATGGTACTGCAGATGAAGCAAGTATTTGGGATGGAATTAGAGGGGGAGGCTTAGCACTCTAGGTTGTCTTACAGTAATGCACTTCTGGTTATTGTCTATGTTAAGCAGATATGGCAAGGGCATGGCTGGACAGAGTGTCAGGTTCATAGATTTTCATCTAAATTTATGAAAATATCTTTATTATCTAGTTATGAGCATCATTTGGAATAAGAGTAACTAACTGTATTTGCATAAGAAAATGATAGTTGATCCTCAACAAAATTCTTCAGTTATATAGTAGTAATAGATAAATCCATTCTGATTGCTGTTGCTGATAAAAGACCTAAAAGAAAAGAGTAAAAATGGTATTTTTTTATAGGAAATGGTAACTGTCATTAACTAGAACAGCAGAATTACAACTGTCACCTACAGAAGGAAAAGGTGACCCCTGAACATAAATTCAAATTACAATACAGCCCAAACCAATGACTCTCTGTTCACCCCTTGTTTTGCTAGTAAGTCAGCTAAAGAGTAAAAATGGTATTGTCAAAATTATATATTGGCACACCAATTTGGAACAAATCCCATGGCATCCTACACAGCTTTTCAGGACCTCTTGGTGAAGGCATATAATTGGGGGTTGGATTTCTGACTTGGTTACAAGGATTAAAACTGACTTACTCTTCATGTTGACAGTGAGTCTAATGACTGCTCAGTGAAGGTGACTATCAGACTGTAACTAAGTGGATGAAATCAGATGCAATTGACCTAACTCTCAGATTTGCTCTTAAATAGAAGCCAAGGCATTAGACTCTTCACTGAACGTCTTGCTCAGGTAGACTCCTAGGTTGGCTAATGCACTAGTGATTAACTTGAAAGAGGGGGAGGGAGGTCTGGGAGGTCTGGGAGGTCACAGTTATTATGGTGGGCACCAGGCCCAGTGGCTGATATTGTATTGTAACCTGAAACCTTGTTTGATTTTTTGGTGTTATTTTCCTGTTTCTCAGTATGTAACTGCCTTATTTGTTTCCTTACTATGAAACTTAGATTTGTAGCAGGGATTTTCTTCTCAGATAATCAATATAGATATTCTCATTGCTAGTGATAAAAAAAATTGAATGCTAACAATCAATATTTAATTAATAAAAGATGTAAAGAATCTGTTGAGAGAGAGAGAGAGAGAGAGTCTGTGGGTGCATATTGTACCCTGAGTCCATCTTCATGTGGTGAGCATTGAAGAAAAATACAGTTGATGGTATCAAAGTAATGTCAAAATACTTGACATAAACTTGCACGTCTTCTGAGTCAATATCTACTAAAGCAATGGTTGCAAATTTGGACACCCCCCGTGCTGACTTGCCAAGCTGTTAGGTGAATATAAAGAGAAGAGGAAACCAAAATAGAGTGAGTTAACTGAAAATAAAAAACAAAAAAAAACATTTAAATACTGTCACCAAATTACAAGATTGTAAAAGATTGTTTCTTTCATGGCTTTGGCACATTGAGAGATTGCTTAAGACATCAATAACAAAAGAATGGAAAAATCAGCTTACAAAATGAAAAATAAAAACTGCACAACGCATAAAATCCAAAAGACTGGCTGTGTGAATGAAGAAGTACATATCCCTTGGAGGTTGAATTACACTTGTAAAATCCAAATTCAGCAATCTCCCAGTGTACCACCTATCAGTGTTCGAAATCCCAACTTCGGTGGCAAAAGGATTGAAAAGATTATAAAAGATTTCCTCTGGAAACTGGGAGAGGGGAAGAAGGATCATCTGATTAACTGGCAAACAGTTTGTAAAAGCAAGAAGGGGGTCAGCACACTTTGTTGGCCAAATGGTTCTGGAGATCCCCCATTGATCAGACAAGTTATGGCATTTGGTCATCAGGAGAATCCATGGACATATTTCCAATGGTTGAGGTGCTGGTCTACTTGCTAGAGCTTTCTTGTCATCACTTTGGAAAGCAATTTCAGCTATTAGTTCTCTTTTTTTTGCCTTTCAATAGGTATGATGTTCATAAAAGGGCAGCCCAGTGCACAAGGCTCCCACCAATGCGGGGTCTGGGGAGGGACAGATGTACACAGCCTTACCCCTACACATTACAGAGAGGCTGTTTCAAGGCTGTTCATACAGGTTCTAAAACCCTGTTTTGGAAAGACCTTTAGTGGGGAGGAACAGCCTTCTAAGGATTTGCAAATTGAAGGGGCTAGAAGGGCTAGGGATATGCCAAAAATGACATGGGTCAAAGTAGTTAGAAATGATTTTAAGTGCCTATAGGTTGGAAGATTTGCTAGCTGAATTTATAGAGAAGTTGGGCTGTAGGTTGGAAGATTTGAATGTGTTGAAAGAAAGATTACAGAAGAGGAAGAAGGAGATCAGAACAAAGAAGAGGAGATTGAGTGAAGTAGAGAGAT